TACATGGAGACTCTATCCTGTGTGCGCAAAATAGACGGGGTGCATCTCCAACCTGGTTAAGTCTTATTAAGGCCCTTCCTTCCCTTCGTGAGGGATTCGAGCCTCATCTAGGATCGGGTGCCTCTTCCTTGTGGTACACGGACTGGTCAGGTACTGGGCTGTGGTGCGGGAGAGTTCCTTTTGTTCACATTGCCGATACTAACAGAACGTTCGCAGACTACTGGGTTAGTGACCACTGGGACTTCAATTCCTTGTATACTGCTATCCCGGCAGGACTGATTCAATCGGTCCAACGGTTGACTGTCGCCAACGCCTCCTTGGGGCTGGATCATTTTGCTTGGAGGGGTGATAGCTCGTGGTGCTATACAGCGGCGTCTGGATATCGTTTCCTGGCTACGGGTTCGTCAATAGAAGAGGATGAGGTTTGGAAGAAGCTCTGGAAGTTAAGGCTCCCTGAGAAGGTTAAGTTCTTCCTGTGGCAATGTTTTCACTCAGCCCTTCCAACGAATTAGGTTCGGGCTGAAAGGAGGTTGGCCGAGTCTGGTGCGTGTTCGCGTTGCTCTTGCCCTCACGAGACTATTTTACATGCACTTCGTGATTGCCCGTATTCGAGGGAGGTGTTGATGTCTGGTGGGGTCAGTGTGGGCTGGTCTTTCTCTGTAATGGACTGTTTCCAGTGGCTGAAGGGGATTATTCTGCCTCCGGATGCTATTAAGCTCTCCATTACCTTGTGGTGGGTCTGGCGGTTTAGGAATAACATGGTGTTTAACAGCGAGCTTTGGTCGATCTCGGCGGTCCGTCGGAAGGTGATAATGTCTACGGTGGAGAATAGTGTGTACAACGCTTAGAGGCGTTTATGGGTGGAGCAATCTCTTTGGAGGCCTCCGGAGCATCCGTGGGTCAAACTGAACACGGACGGGAGTTGGTTGAGTGAGAATTATGTTATGGGGATGGGTGGAGTAATTCGAGATTCGGCCGGTATGTGGAGGGGAGGATTCTCGCGGGGAGTTCGACACGGTGATGCGTTACGAGCTGAGCTGTTGGCCTTGGAGGAGGGGTTATCGTTTTGTTGGGAAGGTGGGCTTCGGAAGGTGAGTTGCGAATGTGATTGCCTGGGAGTAGTTACGCTATTTCAAGACCGGTCAATGGAGAGGGATCATCTGCATAAGCACTATGATGTTATTCGTCGTATTAAGTGCTTGATAGCTAGGGACTGGGGAGTTTATGTAAGTCATATCCTTAGAGACGTGAATTCAGTAGCTCATACGCTGGCTAATTGGGGTGTAAGGAACGTAGGTTCCAATGTATTTTGAAGGAGTCCTCCTGATTTTATCCTGTTACCGTTAGGAAGAGACTCTATGTCTTGAGTTGTCTGCTGTTTAGTTTTCATTCTTTACCAAAAAAAAAAATGCCTCAACCAGACATAACAATACAAATAGAGAAAAATTGAGGGAAAAAAAAGTCGTTGAAGCATTAATTTCGTTTAATCCTTGAAATATTAATTAATTTCATTTAATAATACATTAATTATAGATTAATTATATTATTTTAAATAAAATATCAAATTATTTAATTAAATTCTCATGCTGTTGATCACAAATATCAACTGTTCAATTTTTAAATAATATATCTAATAGTAAAAATTATTGTTATACCCATGTGGCAACTGGCAACTAACTAAGTACTTTATGTTATAATTTTTTACATTTCACATGCACCAAATAAAAACAATATTGAAAATAATCAACCAAGGTTGTTCCATTTATATATTAACTATAATGATATCCATGCATTTGCATGGATTATAATCCTTTTTCTATATATATGATAAAAATATAGTTATTTGTAAAATTATTATTTTTATATTAAAGTAATATTATTAAATAGTTATAATTTTTAACAATATAAAAATAAAAGAAGTATTTAAATTAGATATAGTCTTATTTATGCTATTTTTATCTTTAATTATAAGATCCTTTCAACTAAATCACACTCCTTAAGAAAATTAGTTAATTTAGTTAAAAATATTAAAAAATTTAATAATTTAAACTACTTTTTCTAAAATTAATCTCATATCTTTTTATTTCATCATTTTTCACTTAATTAATTACTGTTTATAATTTTAAAATGTGAAATAATAGATATATTTAATTATTTTATATCTATATTGTAAATAAAAATTTGTTATATTTATAAATAATATTTAAATATTTTATATGAATTAGTAAAAAAGTTATTAAATAAATAAAGAAACTATTTTTTTTAATAAAAATTAATTTAAACACAATAAATAAAATAAAAATATTATAAAAATGAATTCGCATGGTATCTTTATTATTTTACTTCTATTATTTTATTAATGCACAATAACAACCAATACGTACGCTTTTTATCATGGTGGATCGTGGATATAGTATAAGATTCTATTATTTTTTCGGGGGTCAACATGTCATATTTTAGTGTATTACAGTGAGATTGAAAATTTTATATTAACCTTATTTTTTATATTATTTTATTATCAAAATAATGTATAAAACTTACTAACTTTATGGTAAAATATAATACTAACTTCGCTGTGGAATGAAGCATAAAATCCACTTTGACGATTTTGTTAGGGATCTCTACGTTAAAGAAATGCATATTATTTATTAAAAACTACACTGATATAAACTTTTTAAGTGTGTTTGTGAAAGTTGATTTCTTAAATTTCAAATGTTTTGATGGAAAAACAGTTGTTTCGTAAAATAAGCTGGTTGTTTGAAAAATTAGTTAAAATTTATAAATAGGTTATTATTAAAAAAAATAGTTTTATGAACTTAAAAATTTGAAAATTTTCATTATTTTTATTTTTACTTTAAAAATAATTTACTATATAATATTTATTTTTTTTGTATATATCTATACAAAATTAAATATATCAAAATTGTTTTTTTTAGTAAATTTATCTAAACAAAAATTTATTTTGATTATAATCAATTGTTGAAATCAAATAATTTAATTTCATAATTTTTTCAAATGTACCTTAACTATAATGATCACCGTGATTTTTAAATGTTGTTATTAATTTTATACATTTTGTGATAATTATTAGGTCATTAAATATAAAAATGTAACTAATACCTTAATAAGCTAAAAAGTCACTTGTACTATATTGGTGATTTTTGTTTGGCTAAAAATTTATTTTGGTCCCTTATAATAATTGTTTGTTTTAATTTAGTTTCACTTTTATTTTTTGTCTCAATTTGGTCCCTAATAAATTAATTGGTTGTAATGTCGGACTTCTGTCCAAATTTTTTAGACGGAATTAACTGTTGACCACGTGGATGCTACGCAGATGCTACATAGAAGCTACGTAGATGCCAAGTGAATGTCAAATTTTTGTCATGCATCTGGAACCAGAACAGTTCGCTCTGAAATCGGAACAACCTGTTCTAGTTTCAAAACGGGCCATTCTGGTTCCAGAATGTCACACATACGGTTGATGGTTATATCCAAAAATTTTAGATCGTGAGGACAATACTTATTTATATATTTATAATATTAAAAATTATATATATTTTTTAAAAATATAAATATATATTATAGTTATTTTTTACAAGTTTTTATATCTACAATTATGATTAAGGATGAAAATAAACTAGGTCAGATTATGTTATATTATAATTTAACAGATTTAAACCTAATTTTTGTTAAAAATACATGTTATAAATATTATATATTTATCTGTCATAGACATTTTTTAAAATGTTTGGTTACATAACAATCTTAAAAACTTACTTAATAATAATTTAACACTAATAAAAATATATAAATAAATATGTTAAATCTTATAAAAATTAAGTTTAATTTATTTATCATTTAAAGATGTTTTTAATATGTGATATAAACTTTGACAAGGCTTAAATATATTTTTAGTCTCTCAAATTTAGGGTAAATCTATTTTTGATCCCTCAGATTTAAAATTATTGTTTTTAGTCCCTGTAATTTCAAAAAATCTTAATTTAGTCCTTATATTCAAATTTTGTTAAGAAATTTATCAAATATTATTGCATAAAATCTACTTATTGGTGTTCTTATTAGTGAAAATATCACATTAAATCCGGTTGATATTACATAATTGTCTTAAATAGTCACTTTCAAATATGTTATTGGTGACCTAAGGGACTAAAACAAGATTTTTTAAAATTACAGGACTAAAAACAACAGTTTTAAATTTGAGGGACCAAAAACAAATTTATCTTAAATTTGAGGGACTAAAAACATATTTAAACCTTTTTACAATTTTAATTTTTTTTATCAACATAAACAATAAATAAAAAGTACAAAAGTTTGACAAATATCAGATAGATGAATAACTTCTCGAAATTTATATTTTATACATACGATAATTTAAATATATATATATATATATTAGAATATAATTTTTATTTTTTAAAATATTATTTTTTAGATAAAAAAAATTGTGTATGTGTAAATGGTTTTGTTTTCGATTTTTGAACCACACTGGTGCACTATGTTGGCTGACGTTCTGGAACGACCCGTTCTGAATCCAGAACGGCCCATTTTGGAAGCCAGAACGGCCCGTTCTGGAAGCCAGAATGGCCCATTTTGCTGCACGCGTTGATGTTAAATAATGCATCTGGAATGGGTCGTTCCAGATGCAAAATTTACACACCATAAGTGCAACTGGAACGGGCCGTGTCGGTTTCAAAACGGGTCGTTCTGGTTCTAGATGCATGACAAAATTTGACATCCACGTGACATTTACATAGCTTTCACGTGTAGCATCTATGTAGCTTTCACGTGGCATCTACGTGACCAACAGTTAACTCCGTCTAAATAATTTGGACGGAAGTCCGACATTACAACTAATTAATTTGTTAGAGACCAAATTAAAAAAAAAATAAAAATAAAACTAAATTAAAACAAATAATTATTATAAGGAACCAAAATAAAATTTTAGTTTTTTTATTTTATTGTAAGTATTCTCTACTTTCATTTAGTCAAGATAATTTGGCTCACAATATTGTAATTATGGTTGATTCGAGATATTTTTGCAGACGAAAATGAATGAGAAAAAATTCTTTGATAAATAAATGTTATGCATAATGTATGAAGTTAGAATGAGTGAATTAAGTGTGATGATGGTGTGGTGTCTGTCTCCTTCCGTTCTCCACTTCCTACCAGAGTCTGAGCCTCCGTACAAGGTGGTGGAAAAGCACCCTCATGTGAAGCTCCTCTCCAAATGCCGGGACATGGCGAGGCTTAAGCAAATCCAGTCCCTGTTCATCAAAAGCGGCCTCCAGCACAGCCTCTTCGCCCAGAGCAAGCTGATCCAGTTCTGCGCCCTCTCCCCCTCCCCCGACCTCCCCTACGCTCTTACCCTCTTCAACACCCTCCAACACCAACACCCCTCCCCCACCCCCTTCATCTGGAACACCCTCATTCGCGCCCTCCCCCTCTCCCCCTCCCTCCACCTCTACACCCAGATGCTCCTCTCCGGCCTCCTCCCCAATTCCCACACCTTCCCCTCCCTCCTCAACTCTTGCGCCAAACACAAAGCCACCCACCTAGCCAAACAGCTCCACGCCCACGCCCTCAAGCTCGCCCTCCACTCCCACCCCCACGTCCACACCTCCCTCATCCACATGTACTCCCAACTTGGTCACCTACGCGACGCACGCTTGGTCTTTGATAAAAGTACTCACAGAGACGCTGTCTCTTTCACCGCTCTTATCACCGGCTATGTCTCAGAGGGCCACGTCCATCATGCTCGACGCCTCTTTGACCAAATCCCCGCCAAAGATGTCGTCTCCTGGAACGCCATGATTGCGGGCTATGTTCAAACTGGAAACTTTCAAGAGGCATTGGACTGCTTCACCCGCATGCAGGAGGCTCACGTGTCGCCCAATAAGAGCACCATGCTCAGTGTTCTTTCCGCTTGTGGTCATCTGGGGTCGCTTGAGTTGGGGAAATGGGTTGGTTCTTGGGTTAGGGATCATGGGCTTGGTGGGAATCTTCACCTCGTTAATGCGCTCGTTGATATGTATTCCAAGTGTGGGGAAATCGGTACGGCTCGTGACTTGTTTGATGGGGTTGAGGAAAAAGATGTGGTTTCGTGGAATACTATGATCGGTGGTTATTGCTACTTGAGTTTCTACGAGGACGCCTTGGCGCTGTTTGAGCTCATGCTTAGGGAAAATGTCACGCCTAATGATGTAACGTTCTTGGCTGTTCTTCCGGCTTGTGCTTGCCTGGGTGCTCTTGACCTTGGCAAGTGGGTTCATGCGTATATTGATAAGAACTTGAAAGGGACGGATAATGGGAATAATGTTTCTCTTTGGACTAGTCTTGTGGACATGTATGCGAAGTGTGGCTGCGTTGAGGTGGCGGAGCAAGTGTTTAGAAGTATGGGTTGTAGAAGTTTGGCTTCTTGGAATGCCATGATATCAGGGTTAGCTATGAATGGACATGCAGAGAGGGCTCTTGGCGTTTTTGAAGAAATGGTCAATGAGGGGTTCAATCCCGATGATATCACGTTTGTTGGAGTGTTATCTGCTTGTACTCAAGCTGGTTTGGTTGATCTTGGAGACCGCTATTTCAGTTCAATGATACAAGATTACGGAATTTCACCAAAACTGCAACACTATGGTTGCATGATAGATCTCCTAGCTAGAAGTGGGAAGTTCGAAGAAGCAAAGGTTCTGATGAGAAATATGGAAATGGAGCCCGATGGGGCTATTTGGGGTTCTCTGCTTAATGCTTGTAGGATTCATGGACAGGTTGAGTTGGGTGAATATGTTGCAGAACGCCTATTTGAGTTAGAGCCAGAAAATGCTGGGGCATACGTGCTTTTGTCAAACATATATGCAGGAGCTGGTAGATGGGATGATGTAGCAAGGATAAGAACCAAGTTGAATGACAAAGGAATGAAGAAAGTTCCCGGTTGCACCTCCATAGAGATTGATGGTGTCGTGCATGAGTTCCTTGTTGGCGATAAGTTCCACCCACAGTGTGAAAGTATTTATAGAATGCTGGATGAGGTGGATAGGCTTTTGGAGGAGACTGGTTTTGTGCCTGATACATCTGAGGTACTGTATGATATGGATGAGGAGTGGAAAGAAGGGGCTTTGAGTCAACACAGTGAGAAGTTGGCTATTGCTTTCGGTTTGATAAGCACAAAGCCGGGGACTACAATTAGGATCGTGAAGAATCTTCGTGTTTGTAGAAATTGCCATTCGGCTACCAAGCTAATATCCAAGATATTCAATAGGGAAATAATTGCAAGAGATAGAAACCGTTTTCACCATTTCAAAGACGGCTTTTGCTCATGCAATGACTGCTGGTGAAACTTAATCTATCTGTTCAATGGTACATAACATGTGCACTTGTGTAGAAGCAAAGTGAATGATTTGCATTCATATAATTAACTGATCATTGGTACATACGTTCTCTCTCACTATTAAAATGCAAACCCTCCTTTATTATAGATACATTTACATATGTTATAGAGTTCGATGATTGGGTTAATTAATGCTAAGATAGCCCAATGTAGTGTAGTGCAGCTGAATCCAACATCCAAGTTATGCATTTGGTATATTCATGCATTGGAGGGTGGGTTGAAGGAGTTCTTTCTTGCTGTTGCCAAAACGGTCTTGTCTGCTACTATGAAATATGCTGCTCCCGCCACTGCTAGCATAATATGGTATTTAGATAACTAATTCGAAATGATTATGAGGAGATCATGGCATTGGCATCAATGTGGATGAGCAATTACCTGTGGAAATTATGAGAGCTTGAGCAGTGGGATTGAGATTTGCTCTTGCCCAAGGTAGCATCCTTACACTGGTCAGCTGCATGTCGAGCATAACTCCAGTTATTTATTTACAAAAAAATCTATTTGAATATTAAGTATTGGTTATTTTAAATACAAACTGGTCGTGATTCGGGAGAACTTTATGTCCAAAATAATTGAATGAACCATTGAATAGATGGAAGGAGTACTTACAGTTGGAATGGCAGTGGCAATACTAGCAACAACGGCTGCCTTAGCTCCTGCCATCACTCCCTCTGTTTGCACACAAATGAAATATGTAAATTAAAACAAAAGTAACATTCAGATATCGCAAAATTTGCATATTTCATGAACGACCATATTCTGAAACCACATATGCAGTCCAAAATTATCAGTCGAGACATGAAATAAGAAGGCAAAAGAAAACAGCCGCGGATGGTTACCATGGGAACAGCGCTTGGCCATGGCCAACTTTTGGTCCAAAGAAGCCAAGCTGGTCCTCTCAAAAGAAGAATTACCGGCAACATTTCTCTTGGCCATCTTCAAAAAATTGGTTGAATAAAAGCTAAGAATTGAAGGAATCTTGGTAAACAGATGAATAACTGAAGTAGCTTTGGATGAAGAGTTGCTGAGGTTGGTGGCATATTTATACTGAGATTTGGTGAAGAATCATTAAAATTTAAAAGTATTTTCCCAAAGAAGGGAAGTGTCGCACTCTGGTAGGGGGGAGTTTGATGGTTTCAACTAAAATCCACCGTCACAGACACTTGTTTTCACTTGGGTTTCGGCTTCGGTCGGTTGATGCTTTCACTGTTCCCTAGATACTCTCTTACTTTATTTTTGATAAGGTTGTAAATGAAATTAGTTTTACCCAAATTCGTGCATGTGAGTGATTTTGGTACCTGACTGAGAATGTCGATGTACCTTATAATTAAAAGAAATAATATTTTGCTTCATTATTGTGTTGGAAAGATAAAGAAAACCAACTTTATCTTTTTTTCGCAATGGCTACTGTAGAAGCTGGTAGTTTAGATCGAACACGCCAAAAACCATGGGCATTGATCACTGACGCGTTGATCCCAATGACCAAATAATTAAACCAAACATGAAAGAGAATAGAAAGGCAGTACCTAGCACATGAGTCAACATCATTCATGAACCAACATCATTCATTATAATACGATAGATAAATAGATAAAAGGGGGTGGGTGTGGGTTGAGAAATTATTGTATTATGTTGAATTATGGTTTCAGTATGATATGTACTCGGGTTTTCTTATAAATTGAAAAACACGATTACATATTATGTAATAATTGACTAGAATCATTAATATTAGCAACCCTGTACAGTGTAATGATTTACGGAGCGAATCTGTAACAGAGCCTGTGTTTCGTTGGTTAGATTGCAACACGTGTCCAACTCAACACGTGCTATAATATTCTGGCAAGTGGAGGCCATGGTTTTCAGTCCAAGTGGATTACCTATCTAGCCAACCACAAACCTGAGTTGCTCTCTCTTCTGCTATTTCCGCATTTCACTTTTATTCTATTAAGCACAAACATCATGATTCTCTCTTCATGTCTTTGTCACTTTCCAATAATTTCATATACAGTGCCCTGAAAATGCATATGAACACAAATCGACATTCAGAATATACCACTGATTTCGTTGGCAAACTATTGCACTCTTTTTTGAATACTTCTTAAGTAATCGTTAAAGTATTGAATGTTTATCATTTTAGTTGCTTAGCTTTCGTTCTCAGCACAATTTTGTCATTTAGATCCAATCTCATGGTTGAGTATGATGAGTGATGGGGGTGCTATTGGAGTATCAGCACTGTCTGCTTGGCATAATATGCTATTATGTTAGATTTAGAATATGGATCATAACTATTCAATGTTAGATAATCTTAAATTTTAGGGATATCCGATTTAGTTTATCTGTTTTCTCTTTTGAGTTGTTTGTTTCATTTTAGATAAGATAGTTTTTGATAAGATCTGTTTTGATAAGATATTTTGTTATCGTCTTGTTAATTCGGTACGTTGTACAATGACTATTTAAAGGTCATCTTTTATTCAATAAAAAATGCAATGAGTTGCTACGTCCACATAATATTAGTATCATTTGTCTCTCTTATTTTCTACAAATTGATATCAGAGCTTTATGCTCTGAGTGCCGATTGTGAGAGGAAAAACAATGTGCGCCTGTGTGTGTTTTTGAAAAAAAAGAAAGAGGGAGTGATGACAAAGGTTGTTAATGGAATGATCGTACCACAACTGTCAAAGAAAACCAATTATGATAATTGGTGTTTACAGATGAAGACCCTGTTGGGTTCCCAAAGTCTATGGGACATAGTGGAGAAGGGGTTCCAAGAACCCGAGGAGGACGAAGAACAATCTGTGGCTCAGATTGCCACATTGGAAAAGACACGAGTAAAGGACAAATCGGCTTTGTATTTTTTGTACAATGCCATGGATGAATCAGGTTTCGAGAAGATTGCAAACGCTGCGTCTTCAAAGGAAGCATGGGAGATCTTGGAGGTTGCACACAGAGGTAACCACCGTGTCAGACAGATCCGACTTCAAACTCTCCGAGGAGAGTTTAAGTGGTTGAAGATGGAGGATAAGGAACGAGTATCCGAGTACATAACTCGGGTGGAGAAGTTGGCTAACCAACTCGGAAGGAATGGGGAGCCAATGCCAGCAAGTAGAATTGTGGAGAAAATCTTGAGATCATTAACAAATGATTTCGAGAGTATTGCATGCGTAATTGAGGAGTCAAAGGACTTGTCAATTCTCTCAGTGGAAGAGCTCGATGGGTCACTCGAAGCCCACGAACAAAGGAAGAGGAAGATGAAGGATACTCTTGATCAAGCACTATAGGCGCAACTTGATTTGAATGGAATTCGGAACACCCAGGGCCGAAGATCAAGAGGACAAGGACGAGGTGATCATGAGTCTCAACTCTCACACCCAGCGTGACAAGGGTCGCGCTCAGCGCAGAACCAAAAACCCCAAAACATGCTACAACTGGTATTGCGCCCAACGCGGTCCAAGTCACGCCTAGTGTGGGCTAGCCAGAGACCCATATTCTCAAGCGCGTCCGGCTCACTCATCATTGCGCCCAGCATGCTTGTCTAAATGGAGTCCCCTGGTGGTCACGTGTAACGACCCAACTGGTCACTACACCCGGCACGACACACTAGAAACACCACACAAAAAGGAACTGGTGTATACATATAAGGTCTAGAATATATACATATAGATGATCCAAATCTGGATAGAGTTAAAGTGCACAAGATACAACCAAGGCTACACTACAATGTAGCTAAAACAACAAAAAAATAAAAAAGATCCACTCCGCCTGCCAGCTACAGACTCACCATCAGCCACCAACCTATCCCTGATCTGCTCCCATACATAGTATGATCATTGCAGTCCAACATCATGGAAACCACAAAAGGGTAAGCTAGTGTAAAGAAATCAACATACATATATAACAATATGTTAGAAAATAGCTACAGCTATCAGCACACCAACACAACTTATACTACACCACAACAATTCAACAATATCAGCACCGCAAAACGACAATATCAGCATTGCATAGTAGCAATATCAGCACCACTTTAGTGGCTATTACAGCACCGCATAACAGCAATAACAGCACCACAATAGTGGCTAATAACAGCACCAGCATATTGCAAGAAAAATCAAAGGCATTTGAAGCTTTTAAAAAGTTTAAAGTCATGGTGGAGAAAGAGACTAACAAGCAAATTAAAGCTTTGAGGTCGGACAGAGGTGGAGAATTCACATCGGCAGAGTTTATGGAATACTGTGAAGAGCAAGGTATAAAACATTTTCTCACAGCTCCATATTCACCACAACAAAATGGAGTAGCTGAAAGAAAGAATCGGACTATTCTTGATATGGTCCGAGCTATGCTTAAAGGGAAGAATATGCCTGAGAAGTTTTGGGCAGAGGCAGTGCAGTGTGCTATATATATACAGAACAGGTGCCCACATTCAAAATTGGATGATGTGACACCTCAAGAAGCATGGAGTGGACAAAAACCGAGTATACATCACTTCAAGATCTTCGGAAGCCTTGCTTACGGTCATGTTCCAGCTCAGCTCAGAACGAAGCTTGATGATAGGAGCAAGAAGTATATTTTGATCGGGTATGATGAAAAGGAAAAAGCCTACAAATTGTACAACCCTGTTACAGGCAAAATTCTGGTAAGTCGAGATGTCCAGGTAGATAAGGAAAGTGAGTGGAACTGGAGTAACTCTGAAAAGACTTCGGGGAGCTCGAACTTTGAGAAGGAGAGCTCGAAGATAATAGGGAGAAGCTTGGATAGGACCAATGAGCATTCCGAGGAAGATGATGAACCTGAGCAACTTAGAACTCGGAGCTTGCAAGACATCTACAACTCCACTGACGAGTTACATGTAGTATGTCTATTGACAGGAACAGAAGATATAAAATTTGAAGAGGCCGTACTTGATGAGAGATGGAAGAAAGCAATGGATGAGGAGATCAGATCAATTGAGAAGAGTGAGACGTGGAAGCTGATAGATTAACCCACAGGAGCTCGGCCAATTGGTTTGAAGTGGGTATACAAAGGAAGACAAATGCAAATGGCGAAGTGGAGCGTTACAAAGCTCGTCTTGTGGTGAAGGGTTATAGACAGTAGAAAGGCATTGACTATGATGAGGTCTTTGCACCCGTGACAAGGATGGAAACGATCCGATTACTATTGTCCTTAGCAGCTCAACATGGATGGAAGATACAACAAATGGATGTGAAGTCAGCATTCTTGAATGGGATTTTGGAGGAAGAAGTCTACGTGGAGCAACCTCTAGGGTACATGAGGAGAGGTGAAGAGAAGAAGGTGCTGAAGCTCAAGAAGGCGTTGTATGGTTTGAAGCAAGCTCCTCGAGCATGGAATGAGAGAATAGACACCTACGTTAAGAGAAATGGTTATGAACAATGTCCGTATGAACATGCTCTCTATTTAAAGAAGTGTAAAGGAGATATATTGTTCGTTGCTCTATACGTGGATGACTTGATATTCATGGGAAACACGACTTTCACTTGGCTATCAAACAAACAACCAATCATAGCTTTATCAACGTGTGAAGCCGAGTATGTAGCAGCATCTTGGTGTGTCCAACATGCAATTTGGCTTAGAAACCTTCTAAGCAAACTGGAGATTATGAAAGCTGAGAAAGTATTGATCCGAGTAGATAACAGGTCGGCAATCGAGTTAGCCAAAAATCCAATCAATCACGAAAGAAGTAAGCACATCGACGTCCAATTTCATTTCATCAGGGAGAAGGTGAAAGAAGGAAGCGTGGAGCTCGAACACGTAGGAAGTAAAGAGCAAGTAGCTGATATCTTTACAAAACCATTGCCTGCAACAACATTTTAGGAGTTAAGGAAGTTACTCGGAATGAAAGAAGAAGGAGAAATTTAAGCTTATGGAGGAGTTTTGTTAGATAATCTTAAATTTTAGGGATATCCGAGTTAGTTTATTTGTTTTCTCTTTTGAGTTGTTTGTTTCATTTTAGATAAGATAGTTTTTGATAAGATCTGTTTTGATAAGATATTTTGTTATCGTCTTGTTAATTCGGTACGTTGTACAATGGCTATTTAAAGGTCATCTCTTATTCAATAAAAGTTACAGTGAGTTGCTACGTCCACACAATATTAGTATCACTTGTCTCTCTTATTTTCTACATTCAATTAATGTGATTTTTCTTAGATGTACATCCAAATAAGCATGTAATTGTTCATTTCTCCTTTTTTTTTTTCAAAATTTGTTATTCTGTTCTTTTCGCTCTTGATAAAGTTTATATTCTTTTCTTCAAATGAGAGTTTCTGATGTCACTAATAGTGGGACTAGGAGCGTCACTTGTCAAGACTTCAATATACTCAAGTCAGTAGATAATGTGAAAGATAGATAGATAATATGCCTCGGCTGATCTAAGGTATATGTATAGCATCTAAGATGTTATTATTTGAGGTTTAGGATTTAGGGTTTAATGATATTCGTTAATACTTTTTAATTAATTAAATTTGTAGGAGGAGTTGTGACTTGGCACTTGTCAATCTAGATTATAGAGGTATGTAGCTTTGTTTACCAGAGAGACAAAATTTATTGTCATTATTGAAGCATGTAAGGAATTGTTATGGGTGAAAAAATTCTTGCAGGAACTTGATTTTATTCCGGATAAATATCTACTATTCGTGGATAGTTAAAGTGTTATTTATCTTGGTAAGAAATCAACTTTTCATTCAAGGTCTAAGCATATATTGTTGTGAGATATCATTAATTATGTGATGCTTTAGATGCTAAGTTGTTGGAATTGGCCAAAATTCACACCGATAATAATAGTGTTGATATGATGACTAAGGCATTACTAAGAGGAAAATTTAAAGTTTATTGTGAGATTGCTGGTTTAACGGTCATCTCCACATAGTTGTAAGGGGCGATTTGTTGGGTTTTGGGCTCCCTTTCTACGTGGATAATAGGCCCAAATAGTGTAAACTCATCATGTCTCACTTAATCAAGTGGAGAGGGATCAAATTAGGATAGAGAAAGAGTGACTCAATTTGAAAAAATAGCAACAAAATATAGAGAAGAGAAGAGAGAAAGTTGCAGGTCTCATATTCACTAGACAATATTTGTTGAATTGTAACTGGAGATTCATTTACCGTTGGATCAAGTTGATTTTTGGACAGCAGGTTCATAAGACTTGGCGTTTCATATTCAATGGTTGGATTGTCGAAAAGAAGTCTAAAGTGGGAGAAAAGTGCCTCGTAGTAACAATTCTGGTCTGAGTTTTTTCATCTTCTTATTTCTCAATTGTAACCAATTGTACTTGATTTTGCTTTGACCGATTGTAAGCGTTGTTTGGTGTGTTCTTTGAAGACTCTCTTGAATCCTTTGTTGATTATAATGAAGTTTTTATTTGATTTGGACGACTCATGATATTTATCCTTACATTGAAGGGTTTTTCACATTAAAAATATTTGTGTCTATGATGTGTTTAGATTATTATCTATTTTTGCTCTATTTTGTTATTATTCCTCGCAGATTCTTACAAATAAAAAGATTTAATTTCTACTACATTATTATTTTTTGTCAAAGTTTTTATTATTGTGTTGGGCTTTCTCCAATTAAGAGACATTATAATATTGTTACTCATAGTCATTGGCAGGTCAGGAAAATAAATACAGAGAGCATAGAAAAACATTCATGTAGCAAAGAAAGAATTTAGTTGTGTGGGCTGAGCCACTGACGAGGGGTTGAGACATGTAACAATTTGATACCTCTCTGTTTGAATTAATAGAAAGGGGTAGAAACATGCCGAATAGAATAGAATTTTAATGTGTTTCACTGCTTGGACTGCTCACGCTTCCGTCGAGTTCTGATGCGGCAGAAGAATGTATGTGGTGATTGCTGAAGCTTACATGGAGAAAGAAAATAAATATAAAAGAATAAGGTATATAGATTATAGAGCTTATTGTGTGTCCTATTAACGTGGTTCACCCTAGATTTTGTCACTATCTTGTATCCGTAACATTTTCATTAGTGTTCTCATTGATCATTTTGTATTAAATTATCCAAAATACTTAAATTTAGAAACACGTGGTATGACGTTTTCTCTAATTTCTACCTAGCTCCATTGTTTTGTTTTGTTTTTTCCTTTCTAAAATTGCAATGCATAGTACACTATACTCTACTACTATTCAAATGAAACTTTTTTGTATTTTGTATTTTCTTATTCCTTAATCAAAATTGTATGTTAAGTAAAAAGCATACACTTATATACAAGTCCCATATTAGCTAGGAAGAAGAAAGTAAAAATCACACATGTAACTCTTTTTCTTTACTTAGGTAGCTTTCCATCAACTTTGGTAGAAAATAAAGAGCTTCAATTGTTTTTGGAAAATACAAGTTCCACGTTAGTAGGATAAAGAAAAGTTGAGTATATATATAAGGTGTAGAATTTTTTTAACAACTCTCACGTACGCTTAAAATCTCCAATAGTGATTCTTATTAATAATTTATTAAAACTTTTATTTTACTTTAAATGGAATCTATCATGTTACATTATTTTTAAACAACTCACACTATATTTTATAAATTTTATTTCAATAATAAGATCTTCATCCACGTTTTTATAATTTTTTTTTATTTGCACACAACTTAAAACAATAATTTAATTATTATAATTAAGTATTAATTTATTTAAACATAATAAATAATAATTTTTTTATTTATGAGAGTGATTTGTGTTCTAAACAATGTTGTTTATTTAAAAGTCGTTGTTTATTTTTAAGTAATTTTAGTAAAAAAAATTGCTAATAAGTACACTTACTTAATAATAAGATATATCACAAACATATGTTCTTATATACAAGTCACTAATACCACTACTCTCCTCATATTAATACTTAAAAAATTTAATATGGTATCACATTAGTATAAAAAAGAAAAGAAAATAAAAATACATATATTAGCTAGGAAGAAGAAAGTAAAGAGTTTGAAAGTGTTGGGTTGTTACTTCTAAAAGCGTTTAACTTTTATGGATCAACTCTCACAGTTAAAAATATTCAACTAATAGTTCTTCACTCCTCATATTGGGCCTGTATAATCATAGTTTCTTCTCTTATAATTATCTATTGTATAATCTCATAATTGGCTCATAAATTTTATTGGTCTGTAACATACACCACTGTGAATATCTCTCTTATATAAAGGAGATAAAAGTACTCCATTAATTCTTTAGTGAGTCAAATAATATCATATTTTCTTGCACATTTCCAAGCTTCAACTGGAATACCGAAAGGACCTACAATTTTTTTACTATCTATCCTTTAAAATTGAAAAGGCTTCTTTAACCTCTTCATCTCGAATTCCAAGTTAAATGTGTCGTATCTGTGTGTTGTAATTTTCTCAACCACAGCAATAATATATAGCTCTCTTAGTCTCAACATGTAGCAACAACAAAAGCACTTTCCAATGTGCAGCGAGGCAAAGACTGAAAAAATCATAACTGAATGAATAAAACCATCTTGCCAAACTTACCACGAGCAAGGAGTAAGAAACTGAAAAAGACTTGGTCAATAAACGTAAAAACATAACTTATTAAAATAAAGTTAAACTGATCGATAAACTAATTAATAAAGTATATGTATTTTAAATTTTAAATTACAAATAAAATCTCCAACATATTTCAGTTCAATGATCCAATGTCACTAAAATTGTAACACAATGATGCTTGATAGATCTAATAGCTTGAAGTGGGAATGTTCGAATGAGCAAACGTTCTGATAAGAAATATGGAAACGTTGGATGGAAATGTTTGGGGTTCTCTACTTAATGCTTGTATCGTAGGATTCATTGCCAGCAAATGCTGCTGGGGCATATATATACGTGAACGTGCTCTCTATCTATCGTAAATAATATGACATAACGCACTAGTTTGTGTAGAAGCAAGCAAGGTGAATAATGATTTGCATTGATCGATATAGTTAACTCTTAATTGGTACACATATGCTATCTCAATATTGAAATGCAAACGCTTCTTATTATAAATATATTTACATATATGATAAGTTGATGATTGGGTTAATGCATAGTGCAGCCGAATCCAACATCCAAGATATGCATTATTAGGAATTCATGCATTGGAGGGTGGGTTGAAGGAGTTCTTTCTTGCAGTTGCCAAAACGGTCTTGTCTGCTACTATGAAATATGCTGCTCCCGCCACTGCTATCATAATATGCTATTAGATGACTAATTGAAACAATGATTATGAGGAGATCATGGCATCATTGTGGATGAGTAATTACCTGTGGAAATAATGAGAGCTTGAGCAGTGTGATTCAGATTGGCTCTTGCCCAAGGAAGCATCCTTACACTAGCCAGCTGCATATATCAGTTAGTTATTTACAAAAATCTCTACTATTTCAATATTAAGAAGAGGTTAATTTAAGTATAATCTGTTCGTGATTCATGTGAACTGTATATAAAAAATAATTGAATGAACCAAAGAAAAATGAATAGGTGGAAGGAGTAGTTACAGTTGGAATGGCAGTGGCAATGCTAGCAACAGCTGCAGCCTTAGCTCCTGCCATCACGCCCTCTGTTTACACACAAATCATAGATCATAAATGTAAATTAAAACAAAGTAACATCCAAATATTGCAAAATTCCCAATTTTTCATGACAAGAATATGCTTTTAGACTTCTAGAGAAGTATAGATTACCATGAGAACAGCGCTTGGCCATGGCCAACTTTTGATCCATAGAAGCCAAGCTAGTCTTCTCAAAAGAAGAATTACCAGCAACATTTCTCTTGGCCATCTTCAATAATATTTATCCAGCAAAGTCTTAGTAAACAGATTAATTAATAACTAAAGTAGCTTTGAATGGAGAGTGGCTGAAGTTGCGGGCATATTTATACTTGGATTTGGTGAAGAAAATAAATCATAAAACTATGGCAGGGGGGTAGTTTGATGGTTTCAAAAATGAAATCCACCGTCTCAGACACTAGTTTTCACTTGGGTTTCGGTTTCGGTCGTTTGATGCTTTTTCTGTTCCCTAAACAAAATACTACTTTATTTTTTATAAGGTGAAAATGAATGTACCTGAAATTAGTTTTATCCAAATTCGTGCACGTGGTTCCTGACCTTGTATAATACAATGCAGGAAGGAAACAAATAATGTGTCCTTACCACGTGTGACGTAAAGATCCATTAAAGGAAAATTATACTTTCTTTTGACCCCTCACCCCTGATCCTGTGTCTCTGTTTATTTTGCCACATTTTAGTAAAATAAAGAAAATATTTCCTTTATCTTTTATTAACAATGGCAAGAGTAGAAGCTGGTTGTTTAGACTGAAGATGACCAAAAACCGTGGGCATGGATCCCAATAACCAGATATGTAAACCATCATAAAACATAGCAGAAAGGAAGCACTTGGCACAGAAGTCAATATTATAATTCATAGTATACCATGATACGTGTCGGTGGGTTCGGAAATTATTACATCAACCGAGATTTCCATATTTTTCAGATCGATCGATTTCTATTTGTGAATTTTTATTGATTCTTTCTTGTAAATTTAGAAATTTAAGTACGTGTTATTTAAAAATGGATCAGAATAATTGCCACATAATGATCCTAAATTATATAATAAATTTTCGGGTGGGTTAGCATGTAGATTGCTCCATAGGATATGTCCGAGAGCACCTGTTTCGTTGCTTAGATTGCAACACGTGTCAATAATGCAGGAAATTTTTTCATAGAAACTTGAACAATTTGATAAAAACGATAATGATGCAAGCAATCGCACTCACATTAAGGATGTGTGTAGTTGTGGTAAAGGGAGTACATGGTTTTGGTTGGTATAGTAGAGCGTCGACATCTCAGCTAACCTTGAGTTGCTTTCTCTTATGCGATTTCCTCACTCAAGTTTGACTATTGATCCGCCGCTTGTACAATATATAATATTATGATGTACTACATAGATATTAAAATTATATTAAAATAATATTATTGGAATAATAATTCTGTGGAAATTTTAGGAGAAATTAGATAGAGGAAAATCCATTGTCTCCTCAACAAATCACTTTCAATGATGAATAAACCTTTGAAATCACTTTCAATGATGAAGAATTTCAAAAAATCCATTGTCTCCAAAACAAATCTTGTAATAAGAAAAAGTTATTTTTTTATTAAAAATGATTAAAAAAAAATTCTTTACAAAGATTCTAGTTCTTCTTCTACTACTATCATGAATTTAGAACTTAAGATCCAAAAACTAAATATTTTTCAAAAAAAAATGATTTCAAGTTCTTAGTTTAGTGAAGAAGAAATAGACTTCATTTAGTTTTAATTCTTATGTTACTACTTTGGTAGTACTTAAAGTAGACAGTCTTTGTCTGTGTAAAACTCCTTCTACTTTAATTATTCTAATAAAGCACACAATATTTGATTTATATTGTTTATTAGATACATCTCATGATATCTTTTTTTTTTTTTATCTTAAGAAAAATTCAAACTTTTATGAAATTAATTTGACTACTTCCTTTTAAGAAAAAATTAGATTATATGAGTTTTCTAAACTCTTCTTTACACCATCTTCTGTTTTGTATATACCAAATAATATGATCAAGGATTGTCTAGGAAGTTTCCTTGTTATGTTCACTTTGTTTTCTTGTAGACATCTAGGTTATATAGGGTACCTCAAGCAAGATGCCTTAGCTTGTAGGAGTACTTCCTTAATTTGTTATATTTTTAGTATCTTCACATTTTTAGGATTTTAATTTTACACATGGACTGCATTATAGTGCTCATATTTAGTATTAAAAAAAAGACAAAGAAAGAGCTAGGAAGACAACCAAAAGAAAAAAAGAAACAAAAGAAAAAGTTAAAAGAAAAAAAAGTGTGAAAAACAATAGTATAAAACAAAGAAAATTTAGAACATTTGGCCTTGTCATTTTTTTTTTGTATTTTTCAAAGGAGAATATATGTTCATGATAAACACAGGTTTAAGAAACACATCATTTTTAGTAACTTTTTCTAACCTCCTAATCATAGATCTTGTCAAAAGTCTTATAGTCTTCAAGAGTGATCCTCTATCATCAATTATTTAATGAGTGCTTTTTTATAACCAAATACGAAATTGGGCCTTCTTGTATTGTTTAAATGATGGTTGTAATAAGCAAATAATTTTAGAATATATAGATGAGGAGATTAAGTGTTATTTAAATTTGATGAGTGTGTGAATATTATATCAAAATGTTATTTTGTAACTAAAATTTGCTTTTAAATTTTTTGATGAGAAGGAAAAAAATGTCCAACTTTATTTATGAAAATTTTGTATAAAAATGAATAACATTGCGAAAATTAGCAAACACATGACGAAGAAGAAATTACATATTCCAAATATAGTGATAGTAAAAAATAGGAGGAAATATATGATCAAAGTAGGATGGCATGTAAGTTTTAAATGATGCATTTATCACTCCCCACCCTATTAACTTTAAATGATGCATGTTAGAGTAGGATGATTCTTATTTATGAGTTCATCTTTTGTTCTCAAAATAGGAACATATCCTGTTGGACATTGGCCATTCTCAAGCCCAAACATGGGCGTAGATGGTGATTTCTCCACGTTTATGTCTTCAATTGAATTTTGAAAGCTAGGTTTTCACTGTAATCAAATAAAGAAATATACATATCAAAATTATGAGGAAATTTAATCAAATAAAGACAAAAAAGTTAACTATTTCAAGGTTGTTCGAAGGAATACTACCTGCAACTTATGATTCTTTAAAAAAGGATGGTCAACTGTTGGTTGCTTGTGAATATCAATGCAATCAACAATGTCTCCAAACTTTGTCTATATAATCCAAAATACAACATATAGAAATAAAATTATTAAACCTTTTTTGTGATATATAGTTCAATAATAAATAAAAAAAAACATACTATGATATATAAGAAGGCTATGAAATACATGAATAGTCTTGATAGGATCTTTGTTAATGCGCTTAAGTTGTCCTTTCAACTCCAAATCTTCTTTCTTTATATTTTGAATACCACGAACCGAATGACTAGCACCACTATTCAGTAAACACAGCACAAGAAGCAATGTATTGATCATTTTTTGAAGACTATATTTTTAAACAAAATGATTGGATGATGTCTCACCTTTTCATCTTACCTACTTTTATATCATTCATACAGGAGAGATAAAAATAGTATTATATTTGAATTAAGTATCACATTTACTCTTTGGATAGGTAATGAAAAAAAGGATAAGAATTATAAAGGAAAGAAAGAAAAAAAAGATGGAATAAATTTCAAGTGAAATAATTGTTTTGATAGATAAAATGATAAAATGAAATGATTTTTTTCTATTTTTTTTATTACATTTAAAAGTAAACATAAATAATAATAAATAACAGCACCAGCATAGCGGCTAAAACAACACCACAATAGTGGCCATACACATCATACAGCTCAGCAAGATACAGCACAACACAACAACTCAGCATACAGCACAGCTAAGTAGTATTTAACACAACTTACTACTCACAACACAGCTCAGCATTTTATAGTATATCAATATCATACTTCAGCAGATTTAATTTTTTTTTAGCAATACCAGCTCAGCTCAGTACGACAAAATACATCTATTTCAACTTAATCCAGCAATGAACAACATTTCTCAGTAATTTCAGCAAAGTTAAACAGTTCTTTACATAGCAAGTTAACATCATCATGCGCGCCCAGCGCACTCATGGTCGCGCCCAGCGCGGCTCAACCAGAGGGCACCAGGGGCCAGCGCGCCCAGAGCAAGCGTGCCCGTGCCCGGCGTGCCTTAGCCAGAGAGCCCAAGACTCTCTCGTGCTTGGCGCAATATAGATTGCGCCCAGCGCACACCAAACAGAGACTCCATGGAATCTCCTGCGCCCAGCGTGCCCAAAACCCGCGCCCGGCGCGGGGAAGGCAGAGACCTCCCCTAGGTCTCGCGCCCAGCGCAATTCTGATTGCGCCCAACGCCCTCCTGGCAGAGACTCCCAAGGAGTCTCACGCCCAGCGCGGCTTGAAGGAACTTCAATCTCCTCCAAGTAGCTCCATCACAAGTGGTACAATTCTCTTCTATATTGTCGATTCATTTTAAAATTAAAGTGATATATACAATTACAAGTTTATGTTAACATGAGAATCCAATCTTGATTCCTAGTTAAAAAATACAAGTATAAAGTTTAGACTAAATTTAGAGTAAATTACATTATCTTCGTGTAAAAGATAAGAATATTACATTTTTTTTCTCTCTTATGTTAAAATATGTAATACTTGATTCATTTGACTTAATGTTGCTAATATAAATTATAATTTCTTCTTTTAAGAGATGTAAATATTACATTATCATTCCTTTGTACGTTAAAATGTAAGATAAATTATACTTTTATCTCTTAGAGATATGAGTATTTATATTATCACTCTTCTATTATATTAAAATATTTAATTTAACATCATCAAAGAATATTCATTATAAAATTTTAGAATATATTTTTAATTAAAATATATATTTAAACATATTTAGTTATTGTCATTCATTCAATTGATGAAAAATGTGTATGATATATAATTAAATTTAAAATAATTTATTAAAATGATAAATAAAAAATTAAATATATACACATATATATACACACAAAATTATTAAGTATTGAATTTTTTAATAATTATATTTTATTTAATAATAAATTTTTAAAATAACCTTTTTTTGTGTTTTATAAGATCCTCAATGCTTTAATGCTCACACTATATATGAATCAAATTGTCTCACGATATTCTGAAGTTAGCTCACGTGTTACTTTAATTGACAAACAACTCAACCGTTAGAATATACTACAACCTTAGGTGAGAAAGAGTTTATTTATAAATTGAATATTTGATATACATTTTTTAATGTTATATTTGTTAAATATAATAAATAATACTTTATAAAAAAAAATACCATTTTTTAAGGTATTTGTTAAAATAATTCATCAATAACATCAATTAATAAGTAGATTGAATTAATATGTATATTAATTCCTATAATTTTTTTAAAA